GGAGCATTGTGAGTAGTGTGTATGTGTGTGTATATATATATATATATATATATATATGTACACACACACACACACACACACACATACACATACACACACACACACACACACAAACATGCACAGTCCCAGAGCAGAGCTGGTTCGTATCAGGTTGGTGATGGATGGAGGATGAGGTCAGTCCTGAGGGGGATCCAGACTCTCTGGAAAAGACCTGTTGTTCACTCTGTGCATCTCTCCCTGCTGTGCTGCAGTCCTCTGATGATCTCATCCACTCAGTAACACACACACACACACACACACACACACACACACACACACCACATGCACTCATCACATCCTGGGGAAAACACTGCCGGTGATTCCCTTTTTAAAGGAGCTCCATTTGATGATTGATGTTGATCTCGGAACAGGAATGTGTTTGGCTTCAAATAAACTTTAAAATCCGACCGTATCATTTTGGAATCAAAGGTGTGTCTTTAAATAAACTTGTGTTTGTTTACGTGTCAAGTCTTTAAAATCTGCTTTTAATTGGTTAGATTTACAACAAAACATTGTGAGCTGTGCAGACTGAAACAGGAGGAAGGACTGAATCCTAGAAGAGGTTATTTGTACAGAGACAGTTCAAAGTGCTTTACATTGGCAAAGAAAAGCATTAGAATCCCAATGAGCAATAAAAGCCAGAAAAAAGTGAAATAAAATACATAAAATGATATAAAAGCCAAACATAATAGATCAGAAATGCAGTTAGAATGCAGTAATAAGTTGTAAGTTGCCTCAAATGCAATAAAAGGAAATCAAAGTGCAGCAGGGAAATCAGTAATGTGTTTAAAATATCATACAGACACATTTAAATGCTGCCATTTCATTCTTGAAAACCTGAAAGTAAATGTTATTCATCAGAGCAGATCTTATCTCCCTGCATGCAGCACTAACAGTATATATTCAGCCTGTTGAATGCTGTCGTGACAGTGACGGGGATTTCCCACTGGTTTTACTTTGTGTCATTGCTTCCTGTTTGGATGTTTTAGTGATCAATGGTGATGTGGCCTAGCGGTAGAGTGTCCGCCCTGAGACTGGGAGGTCATGGGTTAGAAAAATGGGACCCATTGCCTCCCTGCTTGGCACTCAGCATCAGGGGTTGGAATTGGGGGGTTACATCACCACATGATTCCTGAGCGCGGCACCGCTGCTGCTCACCGCTCCCTCAGGGGATGGGTCAAATGCGGAGAACAAATTTCACACACTCAGTTGTGTAACAATCAGTGGGACTTTAACTTTTTAACTTAATTATGTGCAATATTTTTGATTGATTGTTGTATTGATTGTCTGTACACTAAATTGCCCCTTGGGGACATTAATGCGGGTTGCTTGTTCCTTACTGTACATTAATGGTTAAATATATATTGACTGATGAGGACAGACCTTTCTTTCATAGACATCTTTGTTTATTATAGCAGCAAACAAACTGCATTAAAGAGGGCTGTGTTCCTTTTAGTGCCCCCTGACGCCTCTCCAGTTTAAACCGGTGGTTTAAGAAGTACTCAGATCCTTTTACAAAAGTAAATGTAGACATACCATTGTCCAAAAAATACTCCATTACAGGTAAAAGTCCTGAATTCGAAAGGTTACTTATGAAAAAGTTCATTAGTATTATTATCAAAATGTACTTTAACTATCAAAAATAAAAGTGCATGTTATGCAGAACGGCTCCTTTCACAGTATAGATTATATTACATTATTGTGTAAGAATACATGTAAGAGCATTTTAATGTTGAAGTTCCTCAATGTGAAGGCAATTTTAGAAACATTGTATGGTACATAGTAGTAGTAGAAGGTGTGGTAGTATAGTATTGTGTCATATCATTAAAGCATGGTTTTATATGTAAAAAGTAACCAATACCTTTGTGTGTCAAATAAATGTAGTGAGTAAAAAGTCCAATATTTGGCCCGGATGATGGAGAGTAAACTGTACTCTATTAAAGTACAAGTACCTTAAAGGCCCAGTGTGTAAAATGGGTTGAAAACCGTTGGAAACAGTGACATCAGTGGTCAAATTCTAGATTGCAGGGCTCACTCGCTCACCTCTCCCGTCGGGTAAATGACGGTGGCCTCGTAGGGACAAAAAGCCTTGCGCAAAAATTTTTAAAGAGTAGATCTATCTAGCGACGAGGTGAATGTTTATTTAGAAATCTAAACCATGTTAAGATATTGTAATGAATCCCTCACGAGCAGGAGACCAGAGGAGCGTTCGGATAAAAGGCCCGTTTATTTGAGCACTCCAGAAACTCCGGTAACACTCCACTCCGTCCCAAACTCTGACTCTTCTAGCGTAACAGACGCACTTCATAACTTTACACACATACTCGTTTACCATACTAAGTGGGGACCTCCCTCCTCCTTCTTCCTTCCTTCCACTGTCTTCGTTGGTTTATTTATACACGCGAAACGCGTTCTCTGGCTGGCTGGATTGTCTGCTAGGGCTGCCTTACATAGATGGCGGCGCAAGATGGCGACCTCTCTAAAGCAAGGCCCTTGCTATATATATATATATATAAAAGCATAATTATAAGGCTACGAAAACCAAACGAATTTTATTTTATAGCGATTATACACTTGTATAAATATATTAATAGGTAGAATATTCAGATTCAGATTCAGATTGACAATAAACCATGCCAAATATTACACACTGGCCCTTTAAGTNTGCATCACAAGGAGTGAAGTTGCGTCTTCTTTTCCTCGCAGATGATGGTTCGGGTTCATTCTCTCCTGTTGCGTGGTAAGTGTGGTCCATTCGCAAACTTTATAACTAAAAAACTTTTCACTACTCTCTATCGACGAACTACTAACACTCTACTGTTTCCTCCTCCTTCTTCCTTCCTTCCGCTGTCTTCGTTGGTTCATTTATACACGCGAAACACGTTCTCTGGCTGGCTGGATTGTCCACTTGGTCTGCCGTACATACATGGCGGCGCAAGATGGCGACCTCTCTAAAGCAAGGCCCTTGCTATATATATATATATATATAAAAGCATAATTATAAGGCTACGAAAACCAAACAAATTTTATTTTATAGCGATCATACACTTGTATAAACATATTAATGGGTAGAATATTCAGATTCAGATTCAGATTGACAATAAACCATGCCAAATATTACACACTGGCCCTTTAAGGTTGTACTTATGTACAGTAGGTGTGTGCCATATCATATCATTTACAATAATACTGGTATAATTTTTAACATGATATGAAAAATTCACATCATTATACTAGTGCTGGAAGCGAAATTATTACGGACCCCGCGGTGGTTCCAAAAAGAGGAACAGCTTCAGAAATGTGGAATAAACTGTGGTGCTGTGGTGCCTGGGCATCCTTAAATTATTTGTTCATTTCTTTTCCTAATTTTTCATATTGTCAAGAATATCATGATCACAAAAAATCCCCTAAAATACCGTGATATTATTTTAGGGCCATATTGCCCACCCCTCATGTACAGTACTTGAGTAAATATACTTGGTTACTTTCTATCACTGGTTAAACCTAACCTAACCCTAAATAGTGCACAGTATTCATTATTGTTAAGAATTACACATGTCCAACGTCTGCTGTTGAAAAAGTCATTTTCTTTCATTTTTTATGTTGTTTTTTTATTCAACGGGTAAAAGTTTGTTAGAGCACTGATCCACACAGTACAAAACTGCTGAATGCTGCTCATAGTGAAGGTTGATTGTCTTTGTGTGTGTGTGTGTGTGTAAAGTGGGACACTAGCTTATTTTACACTGCCTGTTCAAGGCTGGAATACTGTGCTGTTTCTCCGCCTTGCTGTTCTGTATAAAAGGTGCGATGACAGAATGGGGGAACAGAGTTGTCTCACCCTTAAGTCGGCAGTGGAGGAAGTATCAGCGCTGAAACTGTGTCTGTGTGAAAGGGACAGCCGGCAGGATGAGACTATGGGCTGATGGGTACGACGTTTTGACAACTTGTTATGCGTGCGACCCACCGCGGGAAATTTAAAAAGTACAGCAGCCGAAAATGTCCACAACTTGGGAAGACAATGATGTCTGGGAGCTCCTTACCCTCCAAGCAGAGGACGAGATCAGTCGTCATATAACTGGGACAGTAAATGATTGTTATTGCCGTGTTATTGCTTATAAAACGCTGGCGACGCATGTTATATGTCAAACTAAAGGCCAGCACTGTTTTACACGTCAGCCCGCCACAACTTTTTTGCATCTGTGATGCCGGCATGCTGTGTAAAAATCACACACAGGGGCGGAATGATGCTGCAGTTATTTGGCTCTGAGTAAAAAATGCAAAGGTGGTGTGAGGGGACTTTGTAATGGCCCTATAGCGCCATCTCCGTGTAGAAAGGGTTAATGTTTAAAGGTTAAAGCTGAGAATTAATTGGAGTCAATGGAAACTAAAATAATGCAAAGCATGTGTATACAAATGTGTCACAAGCGCAAACACACACTCACACAGCCAGTGACTGCACAGGAGTCAGCTGCGTGCAATTACACACACACACCCACACACACATACACACAAACACACATGCACACACACACATGCACACACACTAATTTTCCAGGTGTTTCAATACCTCCCTGAATTTGCCCTTGTCTTGTCTTTTTCTCTTTGTTTGTACATGTGAATTTAAAAGTGGTGTACTGTTGCTACCTTTGTAGTATATTAACTTTGCAGAATGTGCTGCTGAAACTGTAACAGAACAACAACACAAACCATCAGCGTGGTCTTTCTGGTTTCGTATCTGCTCGTAAAGCTGCACTGATCCTGGTGTTGTTCTGGTAAACAGGTGTTAAAAAATGGACATTTTCCTTAAGTTGAAACTTTCTTGACTCTCCCATGTTGCACCGCTGTCTTTCTTCATTGTCTTACGCTTTTACCGCCTGTCTCACTCTTTGTTTTTCTGTCTCTCTCTCTCTCTTTGTCACTTCCTCCCTTCTCTCCGTTTTGGCACATGTTGCCACGGTAACCACAGCCTCTTTTTTTTTTTTGGCCAAGTTGTAGTGGTGCAGTTTTTAAAGGCCCATATTGGGCTCCTTCATTTACGCACACATGCTATCACACAATCATACACACCCACAAACACCCCCTGTTCACATACACATCATCAACACCTCTACATACTGCTAACACACACACACACACACACACACACTGCCACACCTACGCACAGTGAATCTGATTTGTCTCACACACACACACACACACACACACTTTCACACACACTCACTCCTTCATTGACATCCCTCTCTGCTTTCAGATTCCACAGGAGATTACCCAGAGTGCTGCTCGCCTGAGGATCATCAAGAAGAGACGGAGAACGACAGATTGGACGTGGAGGACGCACAGTGATTGCAGGAGGAGGTGGAGCCTCAGAAAGACCCCCTCTGCGTCCAGTGAAGCCCCTCCCCTCTGAGGAAGTGCAGTGAGTAGCAGCTTTTTTTTCTTTCTTTTTTTTTTCTTTTTTTGGAGGGAACCGGACTTTGTCTGTATCTGGGGTGATCTCTTTTTTTTTTGAAATATGTGTATCAGCACATCCAGTTTGACTGCTGAAAAAACTGTATTTAGAGCTTACAGTTTAGTTAGTCAAGGCTTTTTTCCTAGCTGGTGTAGTCAAATCTCAAAATGAAGGCTCTATGTTAACCGATAGTTAGCCAGAAGTGACCATATTTGGATGAGAGGGTGGAGATAACCCTAACGCTAGCTGCTAGTTTGGTTAATTGAACAAGACTTTTTCAGGCGACTAAAACAATACAATTAACTTTCAAGAACTGAAATAAAAGTATGAAATCTTTATGAAATCTGTCTATAGAAACCAAAACTGTTTTTGCACCAGGCTGTAAACGTACTGTAAAGTTGGGCATTTTAACATGGGAGTCTATGGGGACTCACTCTTGGAGCCAGCCTCAAGTGGCCATTAGAGGAACTGCCGTTTTTGGCACTTCTAAGTTGGCTTAATTTCTCTCCTGGAGATTGCTGCTTGGTTTCACAGGATAATGACATAACATGTTGCCAAGTTTTGGCTTTGTAGTGATGTTCAAACTGTCTGTAGAAGGAAAAAAAACACTCTTAGTCTGGACAGTACAGTCATGAATCACCCCACCTCAACCAACAGGAAGAATTGTGCAAAAGCTTCTACATGATGATGTTTTTCAACATGCAGCATTTGTGACCAGGTCTTGTGTATTGTTGGTTTAATGGCAGCCCTGCAGGATAGCAGAGCTCGGGCTTTGTGGTGAGAGCTGGAGGAGATGTGACTCCTCTGTTCCTCAATGCAAAAAGTAAACAAGTAACTGACATTTCTGACCTGTTGCAGGTGAGGGTGTGTTTTTGCAGCAGTGGAGGCTCGTCTCGCTTTTCTTTTTTTGTTGCAAACCTGCCATTTTGTCTGTGTGATTTAGTTTTCACCTGCAGTGTAATAGCAGTATCAGATTTGCAGCTGCTTTTTCTAGTGAGATGATTCTATCACTGCAGTGTCAAAGTGCATTTTCCAACTAATAAATTATGCCATGCAAGGGATCCCAAATAGGCTCTCAGTTCCTCGAGAGCATTCGCAAACGGAGCCACAGTGGTGTCAATAGCTGCTTTAACTTAAGTGAGAATGAGAGAGCTCAGATATTAAATTAAATATCCATCTGGAGGTTTTGTAAATCTGTAGCTTAACTTCTGAGAAGCTTTCTGTGGTGACTTTAGGTCTAAAAGCATTTAAATGTTTTAGGAACATGGGAAACTGTTTTTAAAGTTTCTTAAATTAAGAAAGCAGTTGTTAATTTGGAAACCTGTTCCATATGTGATGCTCCACAGGAATTTAGGTAATACAAATCACCCGCAGACTCGTTTATCAAGTAAAAATGTTCCAAATAATTAGATGTGAGCATCTGTTGCTCTTCTTAGTTTTATATCAGTGTCAGCTGGATTACTTGTAGACATCTCCTTGGGATGATTAATAGAAGAAAAGAAATAGAAAAAGCAATAATTAGAAGATTTGTTAGTTTTAGTCCTTTTAGTTAGCTAAGAGATGAACATAATAATGGGTATCATGCAGCAACATTCTCTTTTTTTTGTTTAGTAGAAAAAAAGAGAAGTCACCTCCAGATGCACAATACATTCTTAACCATCCCAATCTGCTCTTAACCAGGCATACTAAATGAAACTTTTTGACTCAAAGCCAGACTTTTTTTTCCAGCCAGAATAATAAATTGCTTTTTCATGTCAAATTTGGTTCAGACTATTCAGACTACAGAGCCTCTGCGTTATTATTTATTTCCTTCTTAAATATGGGTGAAACTCATAACCCTCAGCTATGAATTAGCCAAATGGAAGCTAGCAGCACCAACAGCAAGTGATAATTTAACGGATCAGCTGATGTCCCGTACAGTAAACAGTGCCACAAAACTCAGAGTACCTGAGACAGTCAGTGTTGTGGTGCTGCTTAGATGTGTGTAAAACACATCTGTAGTGTGTATATGTGTCTTTGTTTGTGTGTCAAACTCGGACAGCAGAGGAGCAGCAGAGCAGAGCGCCTGTAAATACCACCAAAACACTGTAGAGATTCAATGTATTACATGACTATTTTGGTACAGACATTTACCCGTCATGGGTGGCACACGGCCCTCTGAGATTTTCTTGCTAAACGGAGAGTCCACCCGCATTTGGCGCTTGGTGGTTGGGTGTTAATTTCAGACCTTGATCATAAGTAACCTATTAGCATTGGTAATGTCCCTTAAACACTATGGACAGGTGTCCTGTCCTTATAAGGACATGCCTAAGAATGCGAGAGATGCACCCAGAAAAAAAAAGAAGTTGTTCAAGAAACTTAAACAAAGTAAGAGTGAGATTTTCCAGAGTGTCATTGCTGGTGTTACAAGAAAATCCAAAACCCAGCAATGCAAAACATTTGTGATGCTGTAAATGCATGTGCGCACTAGTGGTCGTCATTCATCTGTCTCATAAAATAGATCTGTGTGATCTCTAAAAACATGTTCTCTGTGTAAGACCTGGATGGCCAGAGCATTCAAGAGCAGCATGTAAGCCATTCAGAAGCTGAACGCAGGCCATATCATCCAAGGGTCTTTAAATCCTTAATTGGGATCAGTGGACCAACAGTATTTCTTTAGCTCAGAAATGTAATTAACCAATCATTACAATTAATCTAACAAACACAATCTAAATTTGATCATGATATTTTTTTATGTTCCTCAAATTAAAACTTGTGTTTACTTGCATTGGACAACAATTTATGGACTGTGAAAATGAGATGTTGTTGTCTTATCTAAAGAATGCTCTAGGCCACTTGCAGAGTTTTCTTGTACCTAAGAGAAGAGCAAAAAAACAAAAAAACACCAGTGAGTCCCAGAGATCAGGGGGTATTAAGAAAATAAGAACAAACTGTGGATACAAACAAAACTGAAGGAATATTTGTTCGTATAGCGCTTCTTGCATGAAGCCCAGTGAGTCAGTATTAAGTGCTGCTTCATCAGCTTTGTATGGAATTCCTTGGAGGCAAAAAAAATCTGCTATGTAGGAGTTATTTTCTCCTAGGTATGGGATGTTATCTCCTGTGTAGGAGATAAACCTTTATTTTATGCTGCATTTGGCTGATCTTTTAACGCCCTTTGGATCTTGCGCTAAGTGCTTAATTGTGCGCAGCTTTCTTACTCAAAACAGCTTAATTAAGCCTAAAGTTTATCTCTTACACAGGAGTTATTAGAACCTACGTAAAAGATAATATCTTCTACGGAGGAGATGACATCGCATACATAGGGGATAAACTGAAGCTTTGGCCCACTCAAGCCCAGTTTCCACCGAGCAGTATGGTACAGTTCAGTTTGGTTCGGTAAGCTTTTTTTCCGTTTCCACTGTGAAAAGATGTGGATGGTACCTAGCACATAGATCTGGTACTAAAAGGTGGAGCTGTGAACATTGCAGTCCGTTCAATGGTCAGTAGCGGACATTCACTCTGCTCAGGGCTGAGTTGTGGCTGGTTTTGAAACTCATGTCGTTGTTCCTGTGGGCTACAGTAACACTAAACCCCTGAGCTTGCCTGAGAAGGACTAAATGCACAAATGTGCTATTTTTAAATATCCCATGGAGAGAGACTCTCACTGCAGCCTGTTCTATTTTGTTCTGAAAATGTTGCGTGTAACTCTGTTGTGTGGATGATAAATGAGGTGCAGACTTCCATCTGTGTCACCGATAATGAGTAAATACAGTGAGTGCCAGATGGAGCAGTGAGTGACAACAACCCACATTTAAGGGTACTGTTTGTGGTGGAAACGCTTAATGGACGAAGGGTCTAGGTACCATGTCTGAAGGGTTACTTTTGGTTCCAGAGGTACAATACTTAAAGTGTTTGGTGGAAAAGGGGGTAGAGTCTGCCTTTTTATTTATTTATTTATTTTTTATCTTCCATAGGCTTCCATAGCTTTGTCACAGTTATTCTAAATAATCCCTAACTGCAGTGCAGATGGTTACAAATCTAACATATTTGCAGCCACAAACATCAAAAATTACCCATGAGTCCTGTGCTTGCACTAGTTAACCAGCTAGTCAGAGAGACACTTGTAAAACAAACAGTTTGTAGACCTGAATTGTTACTCACCTAAACTGCCTGTATAAACAGAGGGAGATGAGGTGAGACTGAAGTCACATGTCTAAATGTAACCAGGAGAACATCTAACAGCTCAGCGTGAAAGTTTTAATCCCTAAACTGTGTTCGATTATAAAACATGACACAAGGACAACACAACTTTACATACAGAACAAAAAAAACACACTGTAACTTAAAAAAAAATAGTCATTTTATCTCCTTTGTATGTGTCACCCAGGACAAGCAGCTGTATAAGAGTGTGGGAGAAACTGTCAGAAAGTCTACACATTTTGTAGTAAAGAGTGAAGCCACAAATCTCAGAGATTTGTTCAGAGCCTCGGTCGGCAGCGATGAGTCAGTCAGAGGAGGTTTCTGATCAGGAGCCTCGGAGGAGAAAATCCAGGAGGAGAAACAGAGGACCAGATTACTAGTGGATGGTCTGGTAGAGGAAGAAGAAGAGTGGGGAGAAACAAAGGGAAATATTCATGTCAACTCAAATTTACTTAAAGTCTCACCTTTTGATATACACGATTGAAACAAAGCAAAAGAACTAAAAGTTTCAGTGGGGAAGGGGAGAGGATCATCTCATCTCCACTGGCTGAGACAAACTGGTCTCATTTTTTTAACCGAAATTACACACTGGTGTCAGGTACAGTCGCTTCTCGTCCACCAGGAAGATGAAACATTAAAGTAAAAACAAACCCAGCCTCACATCTTGGGCTCTTTTGTCCCTTCAGTGTCCTTCAGTCCCACAATAAAGTTGGACAATGTGAGGCATTTAGAGGTATTTACTCGCCATGCATCCAGTCAGTGTTTGCTCTTATTTCTTTAGTTTG